CAAAAATCCTGTGAAGTTTTACAAATGAGGAGGTCAAGGGAGTTTTCTAAAGTCATCAGCTTATTAGTGACAGAGATAGGATTCAAAACCAAGTGTCCTGACTGAAGCCTGTGCTCTGAATCATTAAACTGTGCTGCCTCGCTAAGAGACTGTAACTACCATATTTACTAGTGTGTAAGACACAAGGATAAAACATCACATATTTAGAAGGCTATTGGGGGATGTATGTTTTGACTAGTACATAGTTTGGTACTTCTTTTTGTGATGTTGGTGTTCATCAAATACGTTGTAATTCTTTAGCATATTGGTAGGTCAGGTCTAACTGTATTGGTAGCTGCAATGTGTCTACTTAGCACAAAGTGAGAACCTGTCTGTCTCCATATTCATCATCAGATTATGTATTTCTTTTCCAGTGTGCAGGTAGCTTGACCTATGGGCGTTAGGCTTCCAGTGTCTCCTGATGACCCTAAACACTGCCCTTAATTTTGAGACTTTGAAAGCAGTGACTTCTTATGTCACTGTTTGCTCAGTCTGGTTTTGTTACCTGACTGATGGTAGTGTGCTGCTTTTCTAGCCCCTGCAGATTCTTATCTGGAGTTATCTTGGAGGTCTGGTGGAAATCACTTTTTCAGAAGTCGTCTTTTTTACCGAAATAAGAATATAATCTTCTCAGTTGGTTTTTGCATTCAGTATGCTTTTGTCTGCCTTAAATCTTTGAGAAATTCTTCATTGCTCTAGTTTGTCAGTTGTACCTCTTCTGGCTTTGTGGCACTACTAAGAATTTAACTTTTATGGTTTTTGACCTGGGATTTGGAAAGGAAAGCACGTTTCTTCATTCAGCCATCTTTAATCAGAATTCCCGGTTCCTCTTGTTTCTAAATTCTTGATAGTATAAGTCCATGGTGTCTGTCTGCAATTCTGAAATTCTAAAGGCATTGAAATTCCAAAATTTTTTCCGAAATTTATTTTGGTGACAAATCTGATTGCCCTGAACTTATCTAGTAGCAAAACCTGACTCAAACTAGTAAGAAGCTCTTTGTAGTCTTAATCTTTTGTACTTGGTGTGACTATTCGTAAGTTTGTTCAGTTGTGGAGTATATCTGTTGGGAGGGAGAATATGTAATATTTGATATATACCATATTGTATTTCTTTTTCTTTTCTTTTTTTTAGGACGAAGTCTTGCACTGTTGCCCGAGCTGGAGTGCAGTGGCGTGATCTCGCTCACTGTACCCTCTGCTTCTTGGGTTCAAGTAATTCTCCTGCCTCAGCCTCCCGAGTAGCTGGGATTACAGGCACATGCCACCACGCCAAGCTAATTTTTTGTATTTTTAGTAGAGACAGGGTTTCACTATGTTGGCCAGACTGGCCTCAAACTCTTGACCTTGTCATCCACCCACCTCGGCCTCCCAAAGTGCTGGGATTACAGGTGTGAGCCACTGCACCCAGTGCCATATTGTATTCTAAAACATGAAAAATTCTCGGCCAGGAGTGGTGGCTCCTGCCTGTAATCCGAGCACTTTGGGAAGCCAAGGTGAACAGATTGATTGAGCCTAGGAATTTGAGACCAGCCTGGGAAACATGGCAAAACCCTATTTCTACAAAAAAAAATTAGCCAGGCTTGGTGGTTATATGCCTATAGTTCCAGCTATTCTGGAGGCTGATGTGGGAGGATCATCTGAGCCTGGGGAGGTAGAGGCTGCCACTGCACTCAAGTCTGGGTGACAGAGTGATACCCCATCTCAAAATCAATCAATCAAATTAAATTAAATATGAAAAATTCTTAATTCCAAACTCATCTAGCCCAGATAAAGGATTGTAGGCTTTTGTGCCATATTGGACTTAGGAAGACCTCATAGAGTAAATGCATTTTTGAGAGAGACTACAAAGTTTCTGGGAATAATGGGAGATTTGATTTTTGTTTCATATTTGTGTATATGGACATGATGAAGACAGAATTGGAACATATGGGTTGAAGAAGAAAGTAAATGAAAATGAGAATACTTTTCTATTGTAGAAACAATGTGTAACTCATAATGATGTCTTTTTATTTCATCCTTAATATGCATTGACTAAAAAAATACTGTATTTTATCTCAAAATTTAGGGACGGAAAGCAAAAATAGATACTTATCAGGAGCCATTTACTCACCCAGGCCCAGACAGCATACCTGAGACTTTTGAAGATGCAGTTAATATACTGAAGCCTTCAACTATAATCGGTAGGTAAAGTTATTCTGATAAATAATTTTACTCCTTAACTGTATGTTGCCAGTCATAATTACCATGTATGATGACTAAAAATGAATTGACAGTTTTACCTAAATTTCAGCATATACTGTGTTTTCTGTGATAACTTTTTGGTTACCATGCATGAAATTCAGTTACCAGATGTCACTTATACTTTTAAGTCCTAAACACTATGCAGTCAATCATACTTTGCTTTTAGAGTTGTTATGACTGTTGGACTCAAAACATGAAAAAGACCAAAGCCATTTGCAGGTTTCACCAGGAGAATTCTATGCCGACTCAAAATTTTTGTGGGCAACAAAGCTGAAAACTTCAGTGTTTTAATTCAGGCATTGCATAACTGACATCAGATCATGCCATTATGGCATTATGTTCTCAGCAGAAAATATAAAAGTGTTTAAAAGAGGAGCTATTTAATTTTCTATTTAGCTGTGTTTTTTTTTTTTTTTTGAGACGGAGTTTCTATTGCTTAGGCTGGAGTGCAGTGGCACGATATTAACTCACTGCAACCTCCACCTCCCAGGTTCAAGTGATTCTCCTGCTTCAGCCTCCCAAATAGCTGGGATTACAGGTGCCTGCCACCATGCTCAAATAATTGTTGTAATTTTAGTAGAAATGGGGTTTCACCATGTTGACCAGGCTGGTCTGAAACTCCTGACCTCAGGTGATCCACCTGCCTCAGCCTCCCAAAGTGCTGGGATTACAGGCGTGAGCTACTGCACCCAGCCCTATTACAGGTTTTCTGATTATCTTTTTATTCGTTGTTTTTCTCTCAACCATAAGCTGCCTGCATTATGTTCATTTTTATATCCTAATGGTTTAATACAGTGTCTGGAACATTGTAGGAGTTTAATAAAAGCTTGTTAAACTGAACTGTATCAGGAAAGTGGATTGCTTTAGTGAAGGTGACTTTTTATCCCTTCCAAATTTCTATTTTTATAATGAGTTCCACAGAGTTTAACAGTTTAGCATTTGACACACAAGGGTTTTGAAAATTTTTTTAATTGTGGTAAAAGGCATATATAACATAAAATTTGCCATGTTAAGCATTTTTAAGTGTGTACTTCAGTAGCATTAAGTACATTCACATTGTGCAACCAGTCTTCACAACTCTTTTCATCTTGCAAAACTGAAACTCTATAACCACTAATAACTCCCAACTGGGTACACCTAATCCCAACACATTAGGAGGCTGAGATGGGCAGCGGATCATTTGAGGTCAGGAGTTCGAGAGCAACCTGGCCAACATGGTGAAACCCTGTCTCTACTAAAAATACAAAAATTAACCAGATGTGGTGGCATGCACCTATAGTCCCAGTTACTCGGAAGGCTGAGGCAGGAGAATTACTTGAACCTAGGAGGCAGAGGTTGCAGTGAGCAAAGATCACACCACTGCATTCCAGCTTCAGCGACAGTGAGACTCCGTCTCAAAAAATAAATAAAAAATAAACAATAACTCCCCATTTTCCCCACCCTCTCCACCCCTAACAATCACCATTCTACTTTTTGTCTCTATGAATTTAACTACCTAAGTGGAATGACATGGTATTTTTCTCTTTGTGACTGGCTTATTTTATTTAGCATAATGTCAGTGTTCATCCATGTGGTAGCAAGCTTTATCTTCCTAATTAGAATGATGAAGATAGTCTTATACTCTTTTTAAAAACTGGCTGGGTGTGGTGGCTCATGCCTATAATTCTAGCACTTTGGGAGGCCAAGGCTGTCAGATCACCTGAGGTCAGGAGTTTGAGAGTAGCCTAGCCAGCATGGCGAAAGCCCGTCTCTACTAAAAATGCAAAAATTAGCCAGGTGTGGTAGCACACACCTTTAACCCCAGCTACCTGGGAAGGTGAGGCACGAGAATCACTTGAACCCAGGAGCGGGGAGGTTGCAGTGAGCTAAGATTGTGCCACTGCAACAGAGCGAGACTCTCAAAAAACAAAAAGTTAAAATAATAAAATTTCCCATAATTCATTGTGTGTGTAGTAAACAATAAATATTTAAGTGAGAACTTTCAGCATCTTACTGTTTTTTCTTTTCAGATTTGAGATTGTGTTCTCATAGATTTTGCATTGCTGAAATAGTGCTATCTTTATAATGAGCTATTACTGTGTTTTTGTTATTGTAGCCCTATTGTAGAAATGCTCTTGATAAGCGTTGCTTTTATACCTATAATGAAGTGGCTGCTTTTCTCCCTTGTTACAGGAGTTGCAGGTGCTGGCCGTCTTTTCACTTCTGATGTAATCAGAGCCATGGCCTCTATCAATGAAAGGCCTGTAATATTTGCATTAAGTAATCCTACAGCACAGGCAGAGTGCACGGCCGAAGAAGCATATACACTTACAGAGGTATTAATAATAGTCACATGAATTAATATGTGTATTATTTTCCTTTCACTAGCTTATTAGTTATACATTCTTACACAGTTGTTCTAGTGGTTTCCCTAGAGATTACAGTATGCTTCTGTGGGTCATCAAAGTCTGATATAAATTATTGTTTATATCAATTATGGTAAACAATTACTTTATAACTCCGTTGTAATGCCCTCACAATATTTGCACTATTGTTGTGAATTTTAATTTTCTATGTATTTTAAACCCAAAATACATTATTATTATATTTCACAAAAAATTTTCAAATTTACCTATATTTTAATTTATTTATCACTATTCCTTCCTGCATGTCTGTGCTACTACATAGGATCATTTTCCTTCTGCCGGAATAATTTCTAAGTGTAGGTCTAATGAATTCTCTTGATAATTTATTTTGCCTTCACATTGAAGGATATTTTCACTCTACATAGAAGTAAAAGTTGGTAAATACTGAAGCATTTTAAAGGTATCATTTTATTGTTTTCTGACTTTTGTTTTCTTTTTGATGATATATCATTGTCTTAGGTTTTTAGCAGTTTGACTGTGGCAGACCTATACATGGTTTTCTTTGTATTTATTTCACATGGCTATTATACTGCTCCTGAATCTGTGGCTTGATGTCTGTTTTTGGTTTTTGACTTTTGTATTTTGAAAAAATAATCAGCCAGTATCTCTACTTTGGCCACATTCTGTCTCTCCTGTCTTATGGGACTCTATATGGTCAGACTTTTTCACCACAATTTCATCATAATATCTTTTACACTATTTTCTGTATATACTATCCTTCTTGCTCTGTTTAGATCTGATGATTTTCTTTGGCCCTATCTTCCAGTTTGCAGATTCTCTGTTCAGCTGTGCTAATGTGTTGTTAGTTCTTAATTTTAGTTATTGAATATTTTTCATTTGTAGAATTTGTTTGCTTTGTGTAATAATTTATTAATTTAGTAACAGACTTAAAATCATGTACTATAGAAACAATTTCTAAATACTGCTTTCTTGTACTCACATTTCATGAAACATTTCTTTTTACTGTTTTCAAATGTGTCTTTACCATCAGTGTTTGTCTTTTCTAGAGCTATCTTTTTGAGTTATCTGACAGCTGTGGAGAACAAATTTTTATTTATATCCAAGCTGTTTAAGATTCAGTGCTTTTAGATCTGTGACACTACCACAGGAGTATAGCCCAATTATAAATATCTGCCTATATATCACTCGACATTGTTTTTTTTCCCTACTGTCTCATAAGTGATCAAAGTGGCTCTAGGAAGTGATTTTTAAAGGCTTGTTTATTATGATGTCTAGTAGCTGTAATTGCTAGATTACATCCTTGAAAATAAGTAATAAATCTATGATAGATTTTTGATCTTCACTTCTTCAAAAAAAAGTTTTTGTAATAGAAAAATAAATATTATAGTATATCTCTCAAAAGCTAAGTATTCTTTTAAAAATATAACCACACTACCATTATACATCATAATTTTAACAATAATTATATCTTGTCATTTTGTTTTATTTTATTTTGAGATAGGGTCTCCCTTGGTCACCTAGGCTGGAGTGTAGTGGCACAATCATAGCTCATTGCAGACTGCAACTCCTGACTCAAGTAATCCTCTTGCCTCAGTCTCCTGAGTAGCTGAGACTACAGGCAGACACCACCACACCCAGCTAATTTTTTAATTTTTATTTTTGTAGAGACAAGGTCTTGCTTTGTTGGCCAGGCTGGTCTCAAACTGCTGGCCTCAAGTGATCCGCCTACCTTAGCCTCCTAAATGCTGGGATTACAGACATGAGCCACTGTACCCCACCTAATTTCATAAATATATGAATTACAATTAAAATTTTCTGATGGTAATAAATGTCTCACTCTCTATGAGTTCATTTTTATTATCTATCTTTTGTTCTGTCTTGGTAATCAGGTTTTTTTGTAAGCCTAATTTGTACTTTATTTTTGTTGTTGTTGTTGTTTTTTTTGTTTTTTTTGTTTTTTTTGAGACGGAGTTTCGCTCTTGTTACCCAGGCTGGAGTGCAATGGCGCGATCTCGGCTCACCGCAACCTCCGCCTCCTGGGTTCAGGCAATTCTCCTGCCTCAGCCGCCTGAGTAGCTGGGATTACAGGCATGCACCACCATGCCCAGCTGATTTTTTGTATTTTTAGTAGAGACGGGGTTTCACCATGTTGACCAGGATGGTCTCGATCTCTTGACCTTGTGATCCACCTGCCCCGGCCTCCCCAAGTGCTGGGATTACAGGCTTGAGCCACCGCGCCCGGCTATTTTTGTTTTTTTTAATTGAGTGATGGATATAAAGAATTACAGCAATAGGCCAGGTGCAGTGGCTCATGCCTGTAATCCTAGCACTTTGGGAGGCTGAGGTGGGTGGATCACGAGGTCGAGAGATCGAGACCATCCTAGCCAACAGGGTGAAACCCCGTCTCTACTAAAAATACAAAAAAATTAGCTGGGCATGGTGGCGCACGCCTGTAATCCCAGCTACTTGGGAGGCTGAGGCCAGAGAATCTCCTGAACCTGATAGGCGGAGGTTGCCGTGAGCCTAGATCACGCCACTGCACTCCAGCTCCAGCCTGGGTGACAAGAGAAAAAAAAAAAAAAAATTGTGCGCTCAAAAACAAAACGAAAAAAAATTTATAGCAATAATTTAAGGCTGTGGATAAAGTCATCTTTGGAAAAGGGACTTTACTTTTTTGAGTAGGTCGCCGTAATCCAGTCAGGGTGTGGTCCACATGAGGCCTGGGGTATTTCCAGTTTGCCCTTTCTGCTGATATCCATCCCTTTGGGTATGAATCAAAAGTCTTGAAGTATTTATCAGCACCTCTCATCCTTAATGGTCCCTGAATATCCATTTCCTCTCTCTCAGCTGTTAAAAGTTTCTCTCTGACTTTTAATAGCTTTGCTGTTCAGGGTCTCAGCCACAGCTTTTAATTTGGAAAGCAGCAGTCATCTTGAGGGGAAGAGCTTCAAATGCTAGGCTCATATATCTTGCTTCCCTCTTCTTTTGGATCTTGGAAACCTTTCTTCCCCAATACCAGACTCTCACTATCTTGTTAGCTCTCTACTTCCTTAAAAAAAATTATTTAAAATATGTTTTATCTGGTTTTCAAAATTGTAACCAGGGGAAAATTTGGTATGAAACAACCCAGAAAATCACTGCCAAAGCAGAACTCTCAGAACTTCCTGAACTTAATTTTCATACTCTTGATATATTTAGCATTCTTTTTTTTCCCCCATTGTTAAACACTATGTAGACCAGGCACAGTGGTTCACGCATGTAATCCCAGCACTTTGGGAGGCTCAGGCGGACAGATCACTTGAGGCCAGGAGTTCAAGATCAGCCTGGCCAACATGGTGAAACCCTGTCTCTACTAAAAATACAAAAAAATTAGCCAGGTGTGGTGGCATATGCCTGTAGTCCCAGCTACTCAGGAGGCTGAGGCAAGAGAATAGCTTGAACCTGGGAAGCAGAGGCTATGTGAGATAAGATCGTGCCACTGCATTCCAGCCTAGGTGACGGAGTGAGACAGTCTCAAAAAAAAAAATTTGACACATATGTTCTCTCAAAATTCCTTTTGCTTCCATATGGCTACTCTGTTAGTCAAAATAAATTATAAATTCTCATGACTGTTGGTTTCCAGTTGATACAATAATTATTGAAATCTCTTCTTCCAAATCCATCACAATATCAGCATATAGATATTTAAAAATCTCTTTAGTATAACGTTTTATATTTTTATTTTATTACTTTTAGCTTGATTGTCTGTCCTCTTCACCAGGCTTTACTACTTAAAAGTAATGGTTATTGCTCTCCAAATTGAATCTTAGTCTTCTACAATGACTATTAAATATATTTGGTAAATATATTTGAAGCATCATGGATTGTTGGCATTTCTGAAATATAAAAAATTTAAATATTTTAAGCAGTAGTATGTCACCAGAAAACTGCTCGTTTAAAAATTTTATTGGCCGGGCGCGGTGGCTCACGCCTGTAATCCCAGCAC